TTCAGGCAATTCTCCTGCCTCAGCCTCCTGAGTAGCTGGGATTACAGGCACGTGCCACCATGCCCAGCTAATTTTTTGTATTTTTAGTAGAGACGGGGTTTCGCCATGTTGACCAGGATGGTCTCGATCTCTTGACCTTATGATCCACCCGCCTCGGCCTCCCAAAGTGCTGGGATTACAGGCGTGAGTCACCGCGCCCGGCCCGAAATTGTTTACCATTCTAATAGTTTGTAGTAGACTCCTTAGGATATTCTTGCATATGTTTATGTCACCTACAAATACAGATTGTCTTACTTCCTTTCAAATTGGGCTGATTTTTACTTCTTTTTCTTGCCTAATTGCCCTAACTGGAATCTTCAGTACAATGTGGAATAAAAGTGGCGAGGGCAAACATCCATGTCATGTTTTGGATCTTAGAGAGAGCTTTTATCATTAACTATTATGTTAGCTGTGGGTTTTCCACAGATGCTCTTTGTCAGCTTTGAGGAAGTTTCCTTCTGTTCCGTTTGTTGAGTGTTTTTATCATGAAAGAGTGCTAGATTTTGTCAAACCCTCTTTGCTTCTATTGAGATGATCATTTGATTTTTGTTTTCATTCTTTTGACATGGCATATTACATTAACTGATTTTCAAATGTAAAACAATCTTGCATTCCTAGCATACATCTTAATAGGTCATGATGTACAATTCTTCTTATACGTTGTTGAATTCAGTTTGCTAATATTTTGTTGAGGATTTTTGTGTCTATACTCATAAGCAATATCGATACGTAGTTTTCTTTCCTTGTGATATTGCCTGTTTTTGGTATCTCGATAGTAATATACTCACAGGTTGTGTAGGGAAGTGTTCCCTCCTCTTCTAATTTTTGGAAGAGTTTTAGAAATTTGTTATAAATTACGAAGTGTTGGGCAAAACTAACCAGTGAAGTCTACTGTTTCTGGCCTTTTCTTTGTATGAAATTGAACAATGGCTTACAGTACTTACATCTCCTTACTCTCTATTGGTCCATTCAGATTTTACATTTTTTCTTGAGTTAGTTTCAATAGTTTGTGTCCTTCTACGAACTTACCCATTTCACATGTTATCTATTTTGTTGTCACATAGTTGTAGATAGTATTTCCTTATACTTCTCTTGTTTTTGCAATGTTGGTAGTAATGGCAACTCTTTCATTTTTATTTTAGTAATTTGAGTCTTCTCTTTCTTTCTTGATATGTGTAACTCAAGTTTCATCAATTTTATATATCTTTTAAAAGAACCAAGTTTTGGGTTACCTGATTTTCTCTATTGTTTTTCTCTTTTCCATCATATTAATTTCCAACCTAATCATCATGATTCCATTCTTCTGCCTAATTTGTGCTTATTATTATTAAATGACAAATAAAAATTATACATATTTATGGTGTACAACATGATATCTTAAAGTATGTATACATTGTGAAGTGGCTAAATCAAGCTAATTCACATATGCATTACCTTGGATATTTATGTTTGCAGTGAAAACACTGAAAATCTACTCTAAGCAAACTTCAAGTAAAAAATATCTCATTAATGCATTGTTATAAGTAAAGTCACCATGTCAGACAATATTCTTGAACTTATTCCTCTTGTCTAACTAAAATTTTTTATCCTTTTACCAATATCATCTCTATCTCCCATTTCCCCAACAGGGCTCCTATCTACACTCTGCTTGTTTGAATCTATCATTTTTAGATTCCACATATAGATCATGGAGTTTTTGTCCTTCTGTGCTTGGCTTATTTCACATATAGATTCCACTTAATAAGATCATGGAGTTTTTGTCTTTCTGTTCTTGGCTTACTTCGCATAACACATTATCCTCTAGGTTCATCCATATTGTCCCAAATGACAGGATATCCTTTTTTTAAGGCTAAACAGTATTCCATTCTGTACATACACCACAGTTTCTTTTTCCATTCATTTGTCAATGGACATTTAGACTGAGTTCATACCTTAGGGGTTTGTTGTGAATAATGTAAATAATATGGGAGTGCAGATATCTCTTGACATACTGATTACATTTTCTTTGGATATTTACCTAGAAGTTGAATTGTTGGATCATATAGTAATATTTTTGAGGAACTTCTGTATTGTTTTTTATAACAGTGGTACTGATTTGCATTCCCACCAACAGTGTACAGTGATTCCCTTTTCTTTACGCTCTGCCCAACGCTGCCCATCTTTCCTCTTTTTGATACTAGCTCACTCTACAGGTGTGATGTGATATTGTGGTCTTTAATTTGCATTTCCCTGATGATTCATAATGTTGAGAATTTTTTTTTTCATATATCTAATGGCCATTTGTATGTCTTCTTTTGAAAATAACAATTTAGGTCTTTTGTCTATTGTTTAATTGGGTTATTTGTTTTCTTGCTATTGAGTTGAGTTCCTTATATATTTTGTATATTAATTTTTTATCAGATGTATGGATAACAAATATTTTCTCCCAATTTATAGGTCGTCTCTTCACTCTGTTGTTTCCTTTGCTGTGCATAAGCTTTTTAATTTGTTGTAATAGCATTTGTCCATTTTTGGTTTTGTTACCTGTGCTTTTGGGGTTAAAGCCAAGAAATCATTGCCCACACCAGTGACATGGAATTTTTCCCCTATGTTTTCTTCTGGTAGTTTTATAGTTTCAGGTTTTACATTTAAGTCTTTTATCCATTTTGAGTTGATTTTTGTATATAGTGTGAAATAAGGATCTAATTTTATTCTTCCATGTCTGTATATCCAGTTGTTCTAACACCATTTATCAAAGAGATAGTCCTCTCCTCATTGAGTGTTCTTGGCACCTTTGTGAAACATCAATTGACTGTAAATGTGTGGATTTATTTCTGCACTCTGTTCTGTTCCATTAGTCTATTTGTCTGCTTTTATACTATTATCAACTTGTTTTGATTACTGTAAGTTTATAGTAGATTTTGAAATCAGGAAATGTGATGCCTCCAGCTTTATTCTTTTTGCTCAAGATTACTTTGGCTATTCAGCATCTTTTATAGTTCCATACAACTTTTTGGGTGGTTCTCTCTATTTCTGTGAAAAATGTCATTGAAGTTTTGATATGGATTGCATGAAATCTGTAGATTGCTTTGATTAGTATGGGCATTTAAACAATATTCTTCTGATTCAAAAACACAGGATATATTTCTAGTTATTTGAATTTTCTTTAGTCTGCTCTTGCTAGGAATTCCAGTATCCTATTGAATAGAAGTGAAAAGAGTGGGTATCTTTGTCTAGTTCCTGATCACAGAGAAGAAGATTTTAGCTTTTTCCCATTAAGTATGGTGTCAGCTGTGGGTTGTTATATATGAATAGCTTTTACTGTGTTGACATATATTCCTTCTATACATAATTTGTTGAAGCTTTTTATTATTAAAGTATCTTTTGTCAAATGTTTCTGCATCTATTGAGATGATCAATTTGCTTTTGTCTTTTATCTTATTTATATGATGTACCATATTTATTAATCTGCATATGTTGAACCATTCTTTCCTCTCTGGGATAAATACCTCTTGGTCATGGTGAATGATCCATTAATGTGTTGTTGAATTGAGTTTGCTAGCATTTTGTTGAGGATTTTGTATCTATGTTCTTCAGGACCTGTAGTTTTCTTATAGAGTCTTGTCTGGCTTTGGTATCCAAGCAATGCTGACCTTAAAATGACTTTGAATGTATTCCCTCCTCCTCAATTTTGTGGAATAGTTTGAGAAGGATTGGTATTAGTTCTTCATCAAATGTTTGGTGTAAGTCAGCAGTGAAGTCATCAAGTTCTGGGCTTTTCTAAGTTGGGAGGTTTTGGATTACTCATTTAATATACTTATTTGCTATTGGTCTGTTCAGATTTTCTGTTTCTTCATGATTCAATCTCAGTCGGCTGTATGTTTTTAGGAACGTATCCATTTTTCTAGGTTATACAATATTTTGGAATATAATTGCTCATAGTATTTGATTCTTTATATTTCTGCAGTATCAGTTGTAGTGTCTTCTCTTTCATTTATGATTTTATTCATTTCAGTCTTCTCTTTTTCTTAGTCCAGCTAAAAGTTTTAATTTTGCTTATTTTTTCAAAATACTAACTCTTAGTTCTGTTTATCCTTTCTGTTGTTTTTCTACTCTCTACTCATTTTTATTCCTGCTCTGACCTTTCCTCCCTTTCTGCCAGCTTTCAGTTTAGGCTGGTCTTTTTTTTAAGAGTTCTTTGAGGTATAATGTTAGTTTGGATTTCTTTCTTTCTTTCTTTCTTTTTTTTTTTCAAGACAGAGTCTCAATCTGTCACCAGGCTGGAATGCAGTGGCATGACCTGGGTTCACTGCAACCTCTGCCTCCCGGGTTCAAGCAGTTTTCCTGCCTCAGCCTCCCAAGCAGCTGGGACTACAGGCATGCACCACCATGCCCAGCTAATTTTTTATTTTATTTTAATTTATTTTGAGACGGAGTTTCACTCTTGTTACCCAGGCTGGAGTGCAATGGTGCGATCTCGGCTCACCGCAACCTCTGCCTCCTGGGTTCAGGCAATTCTCCTGCCTCAGCCTCCTGAGTAGCTGGGATTACAAGAACACACCACCATGCTCAGCTAATGTTTTGTATTTTTAGTAGAGATGGGGTTTCACCATGTTGACCAGGATGGTCTTGATCTCTTCACCTCGTGATCCACCCACCTTGGCCTCCCAAAGTGCTGGGATTACAGGCTTGAGCCACCGCGCCCAGCACATTTTTAAATTTTTAGTAGAGACATGGTTTCGCCACGTTGGTCAGGCTGGACTCAAACTCCTGACCTCGTAATCCACCTGCCTTGGCCTCCCAAAGTGAGCCTCCCAGTGGCTCACTGGGATTACAGACATGAGCCACCGCACCCATCTGGATTTTTAAGTCTTTTTTCTTTTTTGATGCAGGCATTTATTGCTATAAAGTGCCCTCTTAGAACTGCTTTTGCTGCATCTTATAAGATTGACGTGTTGGTCCCACTTTCTTTAGTCTCAAGATATTTTTCAATTTCTTTTAATTTCTTCTTGACTCTTTGTTCAGGAGCAGGTCATTTAATTTCCACGTATTTGTGAATTCTTCAATTTTTCTTCTGTTATTGATTTCTAGATTCATATCGTTATGTTGACTGGCACTCCTTGGGCAGGCCTGGATCCTGATTCTGCTGGACTGCTGGGAGTGGCCTCGAACTTGGCTCTGTGCATGCCAACCTGGTGCTGGAGTGGGGCTGGAGGCTTGGTCCACAAATGCTGGCCTGGAGTCTGGGGCTGAAGAGACTGAGCTGGCAATGTTATTGGGGGTCGGTGGGGAGTGCCTGAAGCCTGGGGTCATGTGGGCCAGTGTGGTACTGGGCCAATCTGGAGTCTGGGCTGGCTCTGAAGCTTGAGTCTCCAGGGGCCAGCCTGGACCCTGAGGCTGCAGGAACAGGCCTGGTGCTGGTGTCAGTTGGTACCATCCTAGCACTGGAGTGTTGGGTGGCACCAGCCTGATGCTAGAGCATCTGTAGATGCTGGCTTGGAGTCTGGAGATGTGGTGGCTAGCCTGCGACTGTGGAAGACTGGTTCCTTGGTTGGTAAACGCTAGCCTGGAGCTAGGGTCTAGAGGCCTGGAAACTGGGTCCATGGGTATCTATCTGCCTGAAGTCTGGGGCTATGGGGGTGGGCCTGACAGTGGGGCAAGCCTAGAATCTGGATACTTGGGGTCATGTCTGTGTCCTAGGGCTATGGGTGCTGTCCTGGTGCCTGGGACTGCCAGGGTTATCCTGGAGCTGGGGCCTGTGTGTACTGGTCTGGAGGTTCCATCCACAGGTGATGGCCTGAAGCCTGGAGGGGACAAGAAATGTTGACAGCCTGACACTCCAGGTGAGATATAACAAGCCTTGACCAGGAGCTAGACACAGACCTTACACCCTTCCTAAAAATGTTCTTAAAATGAATCATAGACCTAAATGTAACATGAAAAACTATAAAACTCCTGTAAGATAGCATAGGAGAAAATTTGGCTGACCTAGGGTTTAGCAATGACTTTTTAGATGCAATACCAAAAGTGCAACCAATGCAAGAAAGAATAGATAAATTAGACTTCATTAACATTAAAAACTTCTAACCTGTGACACTGAAAAAAGAATAAGAAGGTAAGCCACAGACTGAGATAAAATATTTGCAAAGGACATTCTGATAGAGAACTTTTATCCAAAGTATACAAAGAACTCCTTAAACTCAACAATGAAAATAACCTGATTTTTTAATTTTTTAAATAAATTTTATTGTCTATATTTAAGGTATACCGCACAATGTTAAAAGAAACCTATAAATAATAAAACTGTAGTGGAACAATTAATATATCTATCAGCTCACATACTTACTGATTATTCCCCCTTTGGCAAGAGCAGGTATAATCTACTCATTTAGCAAAAAATCCCAAACACAATATATCATATGTATTAGCTATAGTCCTCATGTTGTACATTTGATTTTTGATCTTTTCACTAGTTCATCCTGCATATTTACTATTTTGCATCCTTTGACCTCCATGTTATCTTGACTTTGGTAATTACTGTTTTATTCTCTATCTCTATATATTTGACCTTTTTTTCTTGATTCCACATATAAGTTTTTCTTTCTGTGTCTGGCTTATTTTATTTAGCATAATGTCTTCAAGGTCTATCCATGTTTGGGCAAATAACAGGACTGTCTTCTTTTTAAAGGCTAAATAATATTCAAATTATCTATTGATCTGTCTGTATCACAGTTTCTTTATCCATTCACCCATTGATTAATACCTAGGTTGTGTCTATATCCTGGCTATTGTGAATAGTGCTGCAATAAACTTGGGAGTGCAGATAATCTCATTTCCTTTGGGGATATACCCAGAACAGAGATTGCTGGGTCATATGGTAGTTCTATTTTTAATTTACTTAGGAACCTCCATATTGTTTTCCATAATGGCTGCACCAATCTATAACACATCCGTACCAACAACGTACAAGTGCTCCCTGTTCTCCACACCCTCACCAACACTTGTTAGCTCTTGTCTTTTTGATGATGGCTATCCTAACAGGTGTGAGGTGGTATCTCAAAGTAGTTTTGAGTTGCATTTTTCTGATGACTGGTAATATTGAGCACCATTTCATATACCTGTTGGTCCTTTTTCTGTCATCTTTGAAGAAATGTCTATTCAAGTCCTTTCCCTATTTTTTTTTTTAACCAGGCTATATGTTCTTTCTATTGAGTTATATGAGTTCTTCCTAAATCTTGGATATTAAACTCTTGTTTGATATATGGTTTGCAAATATTTTCTCCTAATCTATACATTGCCTTTTCAGTTTTTTATTGTTTCTGTTCTGTGTAGAAGTTTTTTTAGATTGATATAATTATTTCATTAATTTATTGTTGCTTTTGTAGCCTGAGGTTTTGGTGTGATATCCAAGGAAGCATTGCCAAAGCGAATGTCAAGGAGATTTTCCCCTATGTTTTCTTCTAGATTTATGGCTTCAGGTCTTACATTCAGGTCTTTTATCCATTTTGAATTGATTTTTGTGTATGGTGTAACATAAGGGATCTAGTTTCATTCTTTTACATGTAGAAATAGTTTTTCCAGCACCTATTTATTGAAGAGACTACCCTTTCCTCTTTTTGTCTTTTTGGTGTTCTTGTCAAAAATTCATTAACCATATATGTTTGGATTTATTTCTGGCTCTCTATTCTGTTTCACTGTTCTGTGTATCTCTTATGCCAATACTATATTGTTTTGATTACTGTTTTGTAATATAAATTTAAATTGGGAAGTATGATGCCTCCAGCATTTTTTGTTTATCAGAATTGCTTTGCTTATTTGGGGTCTTTTGTGGATCCATAGAAATTGTATGTTTTTTTTTCTATTTCTGTGAAAAATGCCAATGAGATTTTGATAGGGATTGCATTGAATCTATATATTGCTTTAGGTAGTATAGACACTAACAACATTAATTCTTCCAGTCTATGAGCATGGAGTATCTTTTTATTTATTTGTGTCCTCTTCAATTTATTTCAGTAATGTTTTGTAGTGTTCAGTGTGCAGGTTATGCTGATGCACTTTTATCTTCTTGGTCAAATTTATTCTTAAGTGTTTTTATGTTATCATAAATGGGATTATTTTCTTGATTTCTTGGCTAGGTTGTTATTTGTAAACAAAACTGCCATGGATTTTTGTACATTAATTTTATATGCTGCAACTTTACTGAATTCATTTATTAGATCTAATCATTTTTCTTGGTGGAGTCTTTGAGGTTTTCTACATATAGAATCATATCATGTGCAAAGAGAGATCATTTCACTTCTTCCTTTCAAATTTGAATATCTTTAATTTCTTTTTCTTGTCTAATTGTTCTTGACAGTACTTCCAGTACTATGTTGAAAAGAAGTGGTGGGAGTGGATAATAATGGATTTTTAAATGTACAAACATCTGAAAAGGACACCTCACCAAAGAAGATATACATATGGAAAAGAGGCAAATGAAAAGAAGCTTAAGGTGATATGAGTTGTCTTCCAAAAAGTAATGAAAAATGCATAAAAATTATGAAGTCCAATTTTTTTATACCAAAATAAGTTCATACTAACTTGTTATAAAATGTCTGAACAGGATCTAGTTTGAGGCACTAAGAAGATAAGTTTGAAAAAAGCACCTATCAGAGTAACATAAATTCTGCTAGAACTGAAGCAAAAATAAACATCAAATTTAGTGTGAAGCTTGGGTGGAAGAATGGTAAAATCACTAATGCTTCATGAGAAGTTTATGGGGACAATTCCCCAAAAGAAATCAGCAGTTTCCAAATGGATAACTCATTTTAAGAAGCGAGGGATGAGATGTTGATGAAGATGAAGCACACAGCAGCAAACCTTCTACGTCAATTTTTGAAAAAAATTATGCCCATGCCCTAATTGAAGAAGACCAAGAATTAACAGCACAAACTATAGTCAACACCATAGATATCTAAATTGGCTTAGCTTACACTATTCTGACTGAAAAATTAAAATTGAGCAAACTTTCCACTCAGTGGGTTCCTAAACTATTGCACCCAGATCAGCAGCAGACAAGAGCTAAGCTTTCAATGGAAAATTTAACAGTAGTATCAAGATCCTGTAGCAGTTTTGTGAAGAACTATAACAAGAGACAAAACATGGCTGTACCAGTACAATCCTAAAGGTAAAGCACAATTAAAGCAATGGCTACCAAGAAGAAGTGGTCCAGTAAAAGCAAAAGTGGACTGGTTAAGAGCAAAGGTCATGGCAATGATTTTTGGGAATGTTTAAGGAATTTTTTTTGTTGGCTTTCTGGAGGGCCAAAGAACAATAACATCTGCTTATTATGAAAGTGTTTTGGGGCCGGGCGCGGTGGCTCAAGCCTGTAATCCCAGCACTTTGGGAGGCCGAGGCGGGTGGATCACGAGGTCAAGAGATCGAGACCATCCTGGTCAACATGGTGAAACCCCGTCTCT